TCTCTTGCTTTATTTTCTTGTAAAACTAAAGTACACGATTTTTCTTCAAGTTTTGAGTGACAGAGACAGAGAATAGAGAGCAGATTTGTAAGCAGTCTTTCTCTTTCTCTAGGATTTTTATTTACCGTAAACTTTGGAAAACGAGACAAGCAGCCCCTACCTTGTGACGTTCTTCATGTCACTGCCCACTGCTGTCCACTTGTTTTTGACCTAAGCGTTTGTGAGCTGCGCCTAGAGCTACAATTTTAAGAAGACCATTAACCAGATAAGTTTATGTTTACGCGTTAAAATATTTGTAAAGCCTATATTTGTAAAGCCCTCGTATGTGTACCATGGCAAAAGTTTTGCAGGGTTAATTATCAAGGTCTAATAATTTTATTGTCAGGTAGTATTGAATAATATCCCTTCCTTAACTTGCACTCCAGTGGTGGAGCATATGTGCTGCTCTTGTTTTGATAATAATATATTTTTAATTTTTTATTTAAATGCTTTGTTTTATTTGGCTCCTTGTGTACAATTAATTAGATTTTGTCATTACGTTGAGATTTTTCTTTTGTGAGGGTGGTCAGGCAAAACAAGTTCCGATTAACACCTCGGGGCTTAATCCAACTCAAGTCACTGACGCTTTTAATCTCCCCTGCTCTCCGTTTTATTGAGCTAGGCCTGAATTTGCACGCCACTTGACAGCTGTTTTGCATTGATCGACCCTTAGATTTCATTTATAGTGATTCACTAATTAATTAAAAAAGTAAAGTGGAATCCCACCACCATTTCCTCTTGATATAAAAAAAGGCGTGCCAATGCGCTTGCTGGCTCTTGCTGGTGGTCTCTAGTTGTATTTCCTTTTAATCCTTTTTTTTCAGCTTACACCCACATCCAGATGTTATGTTTTCACTTCGGTTTTTCGCACATCCGTATGTCCGTATGTCGCTCGGGTTACCAATCCTTCTATTTCTCCTCATCTTCCCTTATTATGAACATGCTCTCGATTGTCCTTTGTTTCTACAAAACTACTTGCCTTTCTTTGTTGATCACAATCTTTCCAGTATCTCAACTGCGAAATTTTCTTCAATCTCCTTGGCTAGCGTCCAGTGAGACTGACTGCAATTGCCTAACTTTCGCAGGGATGCCCCTCTGGATGATAATGAGTGAATACAAACAGAATTTACAGGCCATTAAGACACAA